GTTTTTAGAAAAGGTGATTAGTGTCTATACACCATCCAGAGTAATATGGATCAGGTTTGATAGAGGGAGAGCCCCAGAGAACTAGATTCCAGAGAGTCAAACAAACAAAAAAAAAAGGTATCTTGATGATACTAAAATGTTGTTTTGAGATTTTTACATTACAGAATATGCAGCCTTGGTGAGTCTTGTTGTCAGATATGCTAAACTGACCTGCTTGAACTCCTGATGTCTTGGACATTCAGCTGGACTCAGTCAGGACACAGGCGTCAAAGACTAAATCAATCATTGATATGGTCTTCTTAAGGCCAACCAACTCCCCTATTTTCCCTACTCTCCCCACCCTTTTCAAAATATCTCAGTACTCATATTCAGCTCGAAGAAGTTATGAAGAGTCATTGCCCCAGTTCCCTGGGCTTTGGGCTGGAGGTTGTTATTACATGTTGTCTTTCTAGGGAATGTAGAAGTGGTCATAACTGGAACAGAGAGGAAATAGCTAGAATTGATTGTATAGCCATAATCTCAATTGGTAGAAATCTTTATAATTGTTACTAAGTTGAAGGCATAGTTTCTTATTTTGGTACAGAATTTATTTTGATGCAAAATGTATGTTTTCATTGGTATAAATTTCTTCTATTGATACAAAAAATTTTAAAGTACAGACCTTAGACCCAGTCCTTCTATAACTGTTACTATAGACTGATCTGAGATGTTTAAGCCTGTGAGTTAAGGGCCAAATAGCAAACTCATGGCACTGAGTTTATTGTTAGGGTGTATTCAGATATTTAATTAGAAATAGCTGAGAGTAGTTAACAGAGAATAGTCCAGATAACCTTACATAGATAGTTAGTTTTCAAAAACATCAGAAATCCATAGAATGTGACATTTAATGTTATTTATTCACTTGTCAAGACAAATCTGCTCCTAACATCTACCCATTCATGGATTCAAAGAAGCAGCAGAGCATCTTACCTCCAGGTGGGGCTGTACATTGTGGCTAGGTCACCACTGGGCAGAAAATTGCCAGTCTATCCTGCAGAGCTATACTGTTCTTGAAAGACCACAATTTACAGCTTAGAACAGCTTAGTTATGCTGAGACAGAATAGGCTATTCCTTAACATTCTTGTTTCTCAAAGGTCTGTCAGATGATCCTGGGCCAGAAGGCTGAAGAGGGATTCTCCAACTTCCTTATTTATTGGGGCTGTATGGGTAGGCAGCTGTCTCTACCATTTGTCTCAGTTCTGGAAGCTGTGTTAGGCTTCCTTGTTCAGTTAATGTTGGTCATTCTTGGATTTCTGACAGGGTTGAAAGATTACTTATAGTCTCATAGCCAACCCAGGCTATTTAACATTAGAGAAGATGGTTTTCAGATGGTATACAATCTAAAGCCCGGATATGAGTCAGGTGTAGAAATGTAAGTCTTTTAAGTTAGGATAGATGACAGTGTTCTATTTTATTGACAAAAATGATGGACTGAGTGTTAGGTCTCTTGCTCTTTATAAATTACAAAATGGTAATAGTTGTGCTCTATTTATATTTGAGAGAAAGGTTTTGTTTTTTATTAGAACAGAAAGGAGGAAGCATTGTGGATTGGCCTGGTGCTGTTTGTATTTTGGATGTTAATTCTGCTCTCCTGGGAGGGGTTGTGGACAAGAAGTGAGTCACATACTCAGGTAACTTCTTGTGAACCAATCCCCTAATGAATAAAGGAGTCAATCACTGGGGAAGTAGCAGGGACTTTCGGGTTATATAAGGGAAGAGAGGAAGAGGAGAGAAAGAGGGTCCTTTTTGAACAGGGATATCGAGAGGGCAAGATGTAGCTACTACTGTCTCCTGGCTTATATGGCAAACCTACCAGGATTCACCACCAGAGGATTTAGATTTAATACTGCTTACAAAATTAGCATTCTAGTTGTTGCACCCAGAGATTGAGTTATCATTGTGTTTGGAAAAAGAGAAAAAGAGAAAAAGAGAAAGAGAGAGAGAGAGAGAGAGAGAGAGAGAGAGAGAGAGAGAGAGAAAGAACTCCAAACCCAACAGCAGCAAACATGGAGAAAAGCTGGAAGCCATCTTACTGAAGTTAGGAATGAGGCATGGATGTCCACTATCCCCACTCCACTTAAATATTATACTTAAAGCATCTGGAACAATAAGGTAAGAGAAGGAAATTAAAGGGATACAAATACATAAAGAAGGCAACCTATCCCTGTCTGCAGATGACTTGATTTCATACATTAGAGATCCACGAAACTTTATCAGAAAAATTCTAAGTTAAGCAAACTCAGCATCTTGGCAAGATACAAAACTGACTTGCACATACAATCATACTAATAACACCTGAAGAACTCAATAGATGCACATATGCACACACACACATATGCATACACACACAAAAATGAGCATCCTTGGAAGCCAGAAAACTACTAAGGGACCATGAGGGGGTTTTCAAGGGAGTAGAGGAAATGTAGGTGCTTGAAGGAGATAATAGAGCAGGAAGTGTTAAGTGGGATGGGGATGGGAGGCCGGGATACATGTACAGTACTAGGATGGGGGAATGAAAATCTACTATCATAGAAGCTTCTTAATATATATGCAAATACATATATAAAATGAGTTTAAATGTAGTTACCCTACTATCGGGGGAGGGTCAATTCCTCTTTCAGGAATTGGAGACTATCAAATAAAAAGCACAATGCCAAGCATAGATTGCTCTCTTCTCTAGTTGTTCATCACTGGGTCCCATAGGCCTCCATACATAACAAGCTCTTGACATTGCTGTTGGTTACTCTTTAGAACTTGATGGTAAATCCCTACTATTGAATGAAATATGATATCCCATACTGGAATCCTAGAACATGGAGAAATCAAGTTGGTATCAAATACAAGGTTGATTCCTGTGGGTTGTATTCACACTGTAGGACGGTGCGACACAAAACCAGAGAAGCAAAGCCATCAACAGTCTTACCAAGCTGTGAATCCTGGGAGCTACAAGAAAGAACCTGGGAAGATACACCCAAAGTGCAACAGGGTTTTCCCAGAAAGACATTTTCATGAAGGGTTTGTCTCACAGTGCTTTAGACACTTGATGAGCTAAAATGCTAATGGGAGCCCTAACAGATTAGAGACTAAGGAAAGAATTTCATTTTCAGAGTAGGAGATCGCTCCTGGCAGAACTGCTGTTCTGGGCCAAAGGCTTAGATTTTTTTACTAAAACAGCTTCCTACCGATCTAGTGTTTCTAAAGCATATATGAAAAGAGATGGCAAAAATCAATGAATTTAAATACTGTACTAAATTTATTTTAATGAACATATTCATATTATAATGTTTTGACATTTTAAAAATTAAATATGTGAAGTATTCAAGAGGAAATGAACCAATTCTTGGAGACAGCAAAAGCCTTTCCAGCATTCCTGTGACATAAAATCCAGGACCACTATCCTTTCTCTGGTTTAACTATCACAGAAGTCAGTAGTGTTCTGCTTTGGTCATCCTCTGCTGAGTTACCAAGCAACAAATGATCATCCCTAGCCTGAAGTCTACAGAACCATTCTACGTCAACTCCAACTGCACATGGTGCCCAGCCATGCTTATACCAAATTCACAACCAAAGATTCTAGTTCCCTTCTTCCTGGCTTCTCTACCCTGGACATATATCTAGCCCTGTGGGGGCCCATTATTGTGCCATATTTTCTGGGACTTGAAAAGGTGAAAAAAAATTAAGAAGAGTATCAAGTTTTTTAAAACTGTCCTTCACAAGCCTTTTCTGTGTCTTGTTCTTCTCAAGCCTGAGCCATCAAGGCATACAAACAACTGAAGCAAGAATTCATCTTGTCCTAGAAACACTCTACAAGGAACATCTAGAACAATGTGTGAGTAAATATATGCACACTGTGGCCCAGTAAAGTCTACGAAGACTGGTCGAGTCAGGGAACACGCTGACTTCTCACTCTCATCTTGGTGCCAGGCTCTAATGCTGAATCTATAAACGACAAGATCTTATCCACATGTTCTCCCTGTGAGAATTTTCCAAATGATTTTCTCCGTCAATAAAAAGTTCAGCAGGGAAAGAGATGTTCCAGTAGATTAGGTTAAGAACACTGACCTTCTAGATCAAAGATTGATTTTCCCATTTAAATGCCAATACACAGCCAAGAATAACAAGAACCCAAGGAACAATCAAAGCATCAAAGTCTGGTAGAAAAGAGACATTCCACCTCTCTGATGATGTTTCATCCAAATGACAATAAGTACATGTTCCAGAAGAGAACAGAGAACGGGAGGTATTCTCAAGATGATTTACTTTTTGAATTTTATTATTGTATATGTGTGGGTGTTCCGTCTACATACATATGTCTGTGCAACATGTATGTGCAGTGTCCATGGAGGCCAGAAGGGTCCCCTCAAACTGGGGTTACAGAGGATTGTAAGCAGCTCAGTGGGTGCTGGAAATTGTACCCAGATCATCTAGAAAAGCATAAAGCACTCTTAGCCTCTGAGCCATTTCTCCAGCCCCAAAGAAAGTAAACATTTTAGACTAAAACCTGAAAGAGTAAGTGTCTAAAGACAAGGCCATGAGAACAGACGGATAAAATAAATTCATGATACATTCAAGAAACCCTCTCCTTAAAGAAATTGTAGAAAAAGACACTAGAAAAATGCAATAAACTATCAAAACTAGAGAAGGAATTTTCTTCAAAATGAAAAAACCTATAACTTCCTCTAAAGAGTCCATCTAATGCTCAATAAACGTTTGAATTAAAAAGCCTATTATATAGACATATGACAAAATTTCAGTCGATGAACTGATGTTCTGTTTAGTCCTACATTCTCTAGGACTTTTATGATGAAGGCATGCATGTTAGAGTTTTTCAAAAGCCTTTTCAGTGTCTATTGAGATGGTTATTATGCTCTTTTGGGGGGGTTCATTTATTTACTTATGATTAGTTTGGCCAAACGTTTGTCAGTCTTATCTTTTCAAAGAATCAACTTTTTTGGGCTGAAGTGAGGACGGGCTGTGTGGAGCAGCGGAGCTACGGCGCTGCTTCCACGGCTGCTCAGGAGGGGAGCATGTCTGCAACTCGAGCCAAGAAAGTGAAGATGGCCACCAAATCGTGCCCCGAGTGCGACCAACAGATTCCTGTTGCGTGTAAATCATGTCCCTGTGGTTACATATTTATTAGCAGAAAACTACTAAATGCAAAACATTCAGAGAAATCACCACCATCTACAGAAAACAAGCACGAGGCCAAGAGGAGGCGAACAGAGAGAGTCAGGCGAGAAAAGATAAATTCTACAGGAAGTAAAGATTTAGAAAACAGAAAGAGATCTCGAAGTAACAGCCATTCTGATCATGTCAGACGAGGAAGGGGAAGACCTAAGAGTACATCTGCCAAAACACATGAGGAAGAGAGAGAAAAACAGGAAAAGGAAATTGACATCTATGCTAACCTCTCTGATGAAAAGGCTTTCGTGTTTTCAGTTGCCTTGGCAGAAATAAATAGAAAAATTATCAATCAAAAAAAAAAAAAAAAAGAATCAACTTTTTTTTATACACTCCAGATTTTGTCCTCCTTCTGGTTCACCCTCTGACTGTTCCACATCCCGTACCTCCTCCCGCTGCCCCTGTCTCCACGAGGATGTCCTCAACCACCCCCACCCCTCACATCACCACACCACCCCCTGGGTCCTCCAGTCTCTTGAGGGTTAGGTGCATCTTCTCTGACTGAACCCAGACCCAGCAGTTCTCTGCTGTGTATGTGTTGGGGGCCTCATATCAGTTGGTGTATGCTGTCTGGTTGGTGGTCCAGTATCTGAGAGATTTTGGGAGTCCAGGTTAATTGAGACTGCTGGTCCTCCTACAGGGTTACCCTCCTCCTCAGTTTCTTCCAGATTTCCCTTAATTCAACCACAAGGGTCAGCAGCTTCTGTCCATTGGTTGGGTGCAAATGTCTGCATCTGACTCTTTCAGCTGCTTGTTTGGTATTTTGGAGGGCAGTCATGAGAGGCCCTTTTTTGTGAGTGCTCCATAGTCTCAGTAATAGTGTCAGGCCTTGGGACCTCCCCTTGAGCTGGATTCCACCTTGGGCCTATCTCTGTACCTCCTTTTCCTCAGTCTCTTCTCCATTTTTTTCCCTGCAGTTCTTTCAGACAGGAACAATTATGGGTCAGAGTTTTTGACTGTGGGATGGCAACCACATCCTTCACTTGATGCCCTGTCTTTCTGCTGGAGGTGAGCTCTAAAAGTTCCCTTTGCCTACTGTAGAGCATTTCATCTAAGGTCCCTCCCTTTCAGTCCTGAGAGTCTCTCACCTCCAAGGTCCCTGGTACATTCTGGGGGGTCCTCCCACCTCCTACCCCCCCCAAGGTTGTCTGTTTCTATTCTTTCTCTTGGTCCTCAGGGCTTCAGTCCTTTCCCCCCACCCAATACCTGATCATGTCCCCCTCTTCCCATCCCTGCTCCATTTCCCACTCAAGATCCTCCCTCCCTTACCCCTCCTATGGATTGCTTTCTTCTCCCTCCCAAGTGGGATTGAGGCATCCTCACTTGGGCCCTTCAGTTCCTTAACCTTTTTGAGTTCTATGGACCGTATCCTGGGTATTCTGTAATTTTGGGGGGCTAATATCCACTTATTAGTGAGTACATGCCATACATGTTCTTTTGGGTCTGGGATGATATTTTCTAGTTCCATTTATTTCACCTGCAAAACTCAGGATCTTTGTTCTTAATAGCTGAGTTAGTATTCTGTTGTGTAAAGGAACCACATTCTGTGTCCATTCTTTTGTTGTGGGACATCTGGGTTGTTTCCAGCTTCTGGCTATCACAAACAAGACTGCTATGAACCTAGTGGAACATGTGCGTGCCCCTGTGGCATGGTGGGGCATCTTTTGGGTATATGCCCAAGAGTGGTATAGCTGGATCTTCAGGTAGATCTATTTCCAATTTTCTGAGGCATCTCCAGATTGATTTCTAGAGTGCTTGTACCAGTTTGCAATCCTACCAGCAATGAAGCAGTGATTCTCTTTTTTCATATCCTTGTCAACATCTGCTGTCACCTGAGGTTTTGATGTTAGCCATTCTGATTTGTGTTAGGTGGAATCTCAGGGTCATTTTGATTTACATTTCCTTGATCACTAAGGACTTTGAACATTTCTTTAAGTGCTTCTCAGCCATTTGATATTCCTCTGTTGTGAATTCTCTGTTTAGTTCTCTACTTCATTTTTCTGATGGAGTTGTAAGAACCAACTCTTAAATTTCTTGATTCTTTATATTATTTCATGTGTTTCTGTTTCATTGATTTCTGCTCTGATTATTATTTCCTGCCATTGACTGAGAGTGCATTTGGTTTGTTTTTGTTTCCAAATTTTTGAGTTGCATCCGTAATTTATTTGTGCTCTTTCTGAGTTTTGATGTAGGCACATAGGTCTATACATTTCCCTCACATGATGGCTTTCAATGTATCCCAGAGGATGACAGCCTTCAATGTGTCTCAGAGGATGATGGCTTTCAATGTGTCCTAGCAGTTTTGTTGTGTTGTGTTCTCATTTTCCTTTAATTCCAGGAAATTTCTTAATTCCTTCTTGGATGCTTCTTTGACCTCCTTTTCTTTAAGCAAGATGTTTATTCTCCGTGAGTTTGTGCGTCTAGTAGAGATTTGTTCACAGTTCATTCAAGTTTTATGGCTTTGTAATTAGAAAAGGCACAAGGAGCTACTTCAATTTGGAAAGATTTGTTTTGTGTCATAGGATGTGTTCTCTTTTAGAAAACCTTCCCCGTGCATCTGGATAGGATGTGTATTCTTTGTTGTTTGGGTGGAATATTCTACAAATATTTCTTAAGCCCATTTAATGTATGATACTAATAATTCTGTTTCTCTATTTTTTCATGATGACCTGTCTATTGGAGAAAGTGGAGTATTGAAATCACCTACTATTAATTGATTAATTGACTGGCAGTCTGTGGTTTTTAAGTCTAGTAGCATTTTTTTTTTAAATAAAGAAACTGGATACCCCAGCGTTTAGTCCATACACATTCAGGATAGTTAACTGTTCCCTTCATTAGAATGAAGTGTTCTTCTTTATCTCTTCTGATTAATCTTAGTTGGAAGTCTTTTTTGTCAGATATTAGGATAGTGGTGCCCATTTGCTTCCTGGATTCATTTGACTGGAGTGCTTTTGTTCACCTTTCTGCTCTGAAATGATGACCATCTTTGAAGCTCAGATGTGTTTCTTGTAGATAACAAGTAGAAGAGTTTTGTTTGTCAACAGTCAGTCTGTGCCTTTTGATTGGAGAATTGAAGCCATTAATATATAAAACTATTATGAAAATGTGTGATCACTGTGTTGTTGATTTTTGGTGGTGATGTTGGTGTTCTCAGTGGTACTTGGTGTTATAACCTTTACAACTTTGTATTTCTTTCTTTAGTCTCCCTGTTATGTTCATTCCTCGCTTTAGCCAGAAATACTTTTGTCTTATAAATTTTTTTTGGTTCAGTTTGCTGGTTATACATTTTTTACATCATGGGAACTTTTTCATCCTCCTTTAATTCTGGCAAATAATTTTGTGGGTATATTAGCCTAGGCTGGCCATCTCAGTCATTTAGGACTTGGAATACACTACTCCAGAGTCCTCTGACTTTCACATTTTATTATTCTGGTTTTCCTTTTATGTGTACCTTGTGCTTTTTCTTCTTATAGCATGTTCTTTGTTCTGTATACTTAGGGTAATTATGATATTCTGCAAAGATTTTCTTCTCTGGATTTTTCTATTTGGTGTTCTGTATGATTCTTAGAAGAATCTGCATAGTTTTTATCCTTAGTTTGGAGAATTTTAAGATCTTGTTGACTATCAGGTCCTTGTCACTGACAGGATTCCTTGCTGTCATCTATGTCTATAAATTGGAAGTTTGGCTTTTTCCATTGTCTTACACTTCCTGTATATTCCTTTCCTGTGTTTTTTTTTAATTTTTCATATTTCTTGCTTATTTTGTCTAGATTCTTTACTTTGAGTACTGATATTTTGTCTTCAGCTTGATTCATTCTACTTATAAGGATTCCCTTTGGGTTCCTAGTTGAGTTATTGGATTTTCCAGTCCCATCTTTACTTCAGCAGGTGTCTATTCAATGTTTCAGTCTCCTCCCTGAGTTCCAGTCTCAAGTCCTGGGTCACCTCTGTCATTTCCATCAACCTTATATTTGCACTTCCTTGGACACTACTCAGGCATTTACTCTTAAGATTTTTCTCCTTAATTTTATTCAGGGGTGTGTGTGTGAGTGTGTGTGTGTGTGTGTGTGTGTGTGTGTGTGTGTGTGTTTTAAACTTATTGAATTCTTTGATGACATTTATAATTGTTCTTTTAAATTCTGTGTCCTGGGGTTAATCTTTGGTAATTCTCCTCAGCAAACATTTCAATAGAACTTTCAGGTTTTAGAGAGAAGACACTGCTTTGATTGTTCATGCTGTTGGTATTTTTGCAATAAGATCTGGGCACGTGGATTTTGTTGATGTTGTCGTTGTTGTTGTTGTTAGTTCTGTGTCTGATATGGACAAAGCATATTGAAGCAGAGGAAAGCATGTATTGCCTAAAGATTGAAATGGCTTGGGTGGAATGAATTCAAGTAGACGGACAGGACTAACCTAGTATGCAGAATGTATGTCCTGGTCTAAGCCTGGAGTGTGTGTGTGTGGGGGGGGGGTAGATCTGGCTGGGTGTAAAAGTTAGATGTGTCGTGGGAGATGTCTGTGGGTGCTGACTGAGTATCAAGTCTGAAGCAGAAGCAACAAGTATTCTTAACCACAGAGCCATCTACACCAACCAGATCATATTTTAGTGGTTCTAAGTCTACCACAGAATTGATGGAAACTTGGGTTTGAAGCCCCACCTAGTGATAAAACAGCAGTAGTAATTCCAGGCTCCCATTCTGGGCAAGTTACATGCTTAGCTGTACTCTCTTCTAGCCCTGATCAGTGATTCCACTGATTTGAGTGAGTCTTTGTTTTATCGATATTTAATTTTTTTGTGCTCTCTCTGTCCATATTCTAGACCATGGTGTGTCTAGGTCATATCCTAGACCCTCTGTCACATGGATAGCTAGCTGGTAAAGATTTTTCATCACTCTATAGGCTTCTTCTTTGCTCATATACTGTATACACTTTTTTTTTAAGTTAAATTAGGTCCTGTTTTTCAGCTGTTGGTAATAATGCCTGTACTTACTAGAGTACTATTTAAAAATCCACTTCTTGTCCTTGTAAGTTAAACCACATTTTCTGCTTTCTCTAAGTTTTGTGAAGGGTGATAAGATTTTCTTTTTTAATTTTAAAAAAATATTTAAATTTTTAAAAAATCTAGTTTCATATTTCTCCATGTACGTATCTAATCCACCCAAAATCATTTGTTGAAAATTCTGTCTTTTTTTTTCCAACATACACAATTTACTTGTCAAAATTTAGTTGTGGAAATGTGGAATGTCAGCTGGATCAGTTCCATGCCATCAGTCGTGTGTCTGTTTTTGTGCCACTCCAGGCTGCTTTCTCTTCTACAGACCATAGTGTATCTCTCAATCAGCAGTAGCAATGCTTTCATGTGTATTTT